AGAGGGTTAAAAATATTTATTAATAACTTGGGTGGCATATCCAAACAAGCCACATGAACTCAATACTGGTGCACAACACAAAATTCATTTTGCTCATGTGAGGACTCTCTTAGGCTATGTCTACACTTGTTGTTTCTTGCGCAAGAACATCTTGCACAAGTGTTCTCATGCAAGAACACATCCACTCTTCCATGTGCGAGCTGTGCTTTCACACAAGAGCATCTATGGCAGTGTGGACACTCTGGGTATGTCTACACTACCCCGCTAGTTCGAACTAGCGGGGTAGTGTAGACATACCCTCTGAGTCTCTAAGTGCCACAGAACTCCTCGTTGATTTTGAGATGTTCTTGAAGCTCTGTTGTGACCTATCACACCATTCACTCTCCCTCTGCTTGCATAGTTAATACTTATTCATCTGTCTGTGCCTTTTATTTGTTGCAAAGGACGTCTGACCTGGGCTAATATAAGATTATAGATCACAGAATCCTGGGTACCATAAGTAGAAAAAGACTGCTAGAGTCCACTGGGTCATGGTGTCCATCCCACCCAAGTGGAGCATATAATCCCCCATTAAGTATGACATTGATACTCCCTACAATACAATGGTATGTATCTCCCTACATCTGGCCAGGGAGATACATACCGTTGCACTGTATTGTCCAGATAAGGTTCCTGGTACCCACTAACCCTCTTAATTCCCGTTGTTCTGGTGAGCTACCTCTACCACATCTGACTCTAACCCCCAGAGTAGATCCTACGACCATGTTGATTCTAAAAGCTCCCTTGAAGAGCAGTTGTTTCTTTCTCTGGCTGAGTGTGTTACCCATAAGCGACAGAAGGCTGTTCGGAGTCATTGCATGGCTGTTTGGTGATAGGAAGATATAGCACTTTACATTCTAGTTGGTGCTATGGAGGGGTGTTAAATTGTACTGTGTTGTAATAGGCTTCATCAGCCATTAGTATTTATAGATCCCTGGGCCTCCTGTCAGTTGGAACTCTGAAGGTTAATTGGCTCCTTCCGAGCCCCACATCTGTCCATCCTGGACCTCTGGCTGGACGCTGCTCATCCTGGCTAATAGCCATTGATGGGCCTAACCTCCATGAATGTAGCTAGCTCTTTTTTGAACCTTGTTAAAGTCCTGGCCTTCACCACATCCTCTGGCAAGGAGTTCCCCAGATTGATTGTGCGCTGGGTGAAGAAATGCTTCCTTTTGTTTGCTTTAAACCTGCTGCCTATTCATTTCATTTGGGTGCCCCTAGTTTTTATGTGATGATTATGACATTTTCGGTCTTACTATCTCTCCCTTTCCTGGTGGTTCCTAACATAGTTAGCATTTCTGAAATGAGCAGATGTTTTCAGAGCACTGTCCACAACAACAGAAGGGATTGTCTGAGCACGCTGAACCCTTATGTTCTAGTCCGTTAGTATCCCAAAAACTGGACTAAGCCATCAAATTGACCCAAAGTGGGCTGGTTCTACTAACATATTTAATAATATTTGTATGGTGGGAGAATGTAGGTGTTGCTAGGGACATAAGAGCCCCATTGTCTATGCACTACACAACCACAGGAATCAACACAATGCTTATCCCCAGAGAACTGGCACACTCATTGCAGCACCGCAGGCAATCAGAGCTGAAAATGGGCATCTCTAGAAATCCTCTTTCATCTGATTGCTCTGATCTTAGCATTTGAATTTAGGCTGGGGCCTCCAAAGACATTTTGGAAGGATTCAGGAGAGAGAGAGAGTTAGGACAACCCACTAGACAGAAAGTGAGGCAGAGAAAAGAGGCAGATTTGGAAAACACAGAGGAGGAGGAGAGAGGGAGACAGAAACCCTGCCCAGTGCACCAAACGGTTTCCTGTTGCCTGGCTGTAAAACCTTCAGATTCCTTCAGACTTTCAGAGAGCCTGAAGTTTTCTCATCTCTCCTGCGCTGTCTGCGAGGTATGGCACAAAACCATTCTCCCTTTCCTTTCCATTTCAATGATTTCTCATTACTTAATTATTACTAATCAGATCAAGTCCTGCAAAGCATCTAATGGCTGAATTTGAACTGTTAGCTGTACCAAAAAAGTTCTGCTTATTCTTCCTAAATAGAGAGGTCATGCTTGGTTTTGCTGACAAACCAATGCTCAGTCTATCTATCTATCTATCTATCTATCTATCTATCTATCTATCTATCTAAAACTCGATGAATTCTTTCTCCTCCAGAACTGAAAACCGTATTACTGTACAGTCGCAGATTAATAGTGTTAGCTGTTCTGTGATCAGAAATAATACTGTATACGATTTTGCAGGCTTTTCTAAGCTGGTTTAGTTTATCCTTGTTTTTTTCTTTCTTTTGTTTTCAAGTTGCTACACATTGGTATCTGTTTATTTATTTCTTTAGAGATAAGTGGAGTATTGGTTTATGGGTATCTCACATTTACCTCACCATGAATCAGATTTCGCTATAAATCTGCCTTGATTAATTAACTCCCCGGGGAGCATACTGTTATTTGATAGGTTAGTGCCTGATGTTTTTGGAGCAACACAGTTTTGTGGATTTTGTTCCTGAACTCTTCCCTTTCCCCTTTCTTCTTCCTGCAAAGAAAAGTAGTTTATTCATACTTTTTCCTCTAGACAGGTTTTAGAATGGTGTCAGGTTCTTCTAATCCCTCTAATTGTTTTGTTTAATTCCAGCTAAGGGGGAGGGGTTGCAGCAGACAAAACGCAATTTTGTGGTTGATTTTTTTAAAAGCCCAGTTGAGAGGCATTCAAAATAAGGATCTGATAGTCCCGTTATTGATGTTTGTCCAAAATAACAATCCGCTTGTTAAATGCAGCAGCTGCCTTAGCAGTCCTACTCCTTCCACCCCAGAAAAACTTTGTTTCAGAAGTATGGACACATTATTACCACAAAGAAAAGAAAACCCGGCTGAATGGTGACGAAAGTCACATTCAGGCAGAAGGTCAGGATCTTCAAGTGAATTTGAGTATGAGTGAGTGTTTTATGATCAAGTGAAAATACTCGAAACAAACAAACAAAAAACAACAACCCTAAAGGAACAAACTGGAAACTGCAACAGATTGTACGCCGGGAAGGCTGGAACGGGGATGGGGGTGTGTGTGAGAAATAGCTTTACATGGACATAAATGGCTGCAGTGTTCTGCGAAACAGTTAAAACAAAGCATTGTCTGCCACATAGGCAGAGGCAGAAGATGGGGGGGGAGAAAGGAGGGGGGAGAAGAGGCGGACCAACTTTTCAAACTTTTTTTCCAAACCCCACCTCCTACAAAAACCTCTCCTCTGACATGACTCACCCCCAATGGAATGCTGGCTCCCATGGAAACCTTTGCAGGGTCCTCTACTGGAGCCAGGATGTAGACGCCGCTGAGGGCAGGGAGGGGATGAGCCGAGGAAACTTAGGGGGATGTTCTGAGCTTTTGCCACCTGTCTCAAAGCGCCACAACCCAAGAGGGAGGTGGGGGGATAGGACTCTGTGCAGCATCCAAAAGGCTTTCACAGGCTGTCTCGTCTTGCCCTTTTTAGTCTTCTCGCTTTCCCCTGTGTCGTGTGCACACGCTGGTTCAGAGACAACATCCCTTACTCACGCCTAAGGCGCGGGGTATGCTGGGAACAGGCCCTGAAATAGCCTTAGGCTAAAGGGAAGGATGCCACCCTAGTAATGCAGCATTGAGGGCAAGAGTCTGGCCCAGGCGAATGAAAGTATTTTCGGCCGTATCTGGGGACAGTGTCCCAGTAATCCCCTGGAAAGGATTTAGCTTTGCTTTCTTTCCTTAGACCGGGTAGCTTAGTCCAAGAAATGGATCCAAAAATGCAGAGACATAATAGCCTTAGGCTAAAGGGAAGGATGCCACCCTAGTAATGCAGCATTGAGGGCAAGAGTCTGGCCCAGGCGAATGAAAGTATTTTCGGCCGTATCTGGGGACAGTGTCCCAGTAATCCCCTGGAAAGGATTTAGCTTTGCTTTCTTTCCTTAGACCGGGTAGCTTAGTCCAAGAAATGGATCCAAAAATGCAGAGACATATGAGCACAGTACGGCTCACAGGGCTGGTGAGCCAGGCCGGAGGAACCCAGCCCATAGACATGTTTGTGAGAAATATTTGGAATTCAACCCTCCCCGTTTCTTCCCCCTTTGAAGATGGCTCTGCCTCTCCCAGGTGAAACCCATTCCTCCAGCCCTAGAAACGTCCTGGCTCGATACAGGGATCGTCCCGACCGTCCCTGAAACTGCCACGTCAGAGAGGTTGCTCACAAGCCCTTTGCTGTCTGACCGCCCAGGCCCAGAAAGTCCTCTCCGACCTGCATTGCTTTCAAACCATTTTCTCAGGCGCGTTCCAAGAGAAATTAGCAAGTCGCTGTGACATGGGGCAGCGATGCGATTGGACCAGATATCACGTCAGGAAAGCTCCATGATTGAACCGAGTGGGTATTAATTCAGCCTGACTGATAGCCTAGGCCTGGTCTGTACAGTTTGGGGATCGATTTAACTGTTCTCCCAGGGGGGTGCAAGTTTCGACTAACCTAGTTCAATCGATACAACCTCTAGTGTGGACAAAGTTATATTGGGATAAAAGTGCTTATAGTGTTATCCACGAGACCCTCGCGATTCACGGAATCGCTGTTCACGGTTCCACGTATTCGTAGATCTCCTGTTCCATCTGGGGGGTGGTCGTAGGGGCCGTGAGCCGTGAAGGACTCCCCACAGCTCCTGGCCCGCCCAACTCCTGGAAGCTGCAAGGAGCTCCCCATGGTTCCTGGCCCCTGCAGTGAGTTTGGGAACTGTGGGGAACTCACCATGGGGGCTGGGAGCCACGGTTCTCAGTATGCGCAAATGTGGCTATTTGCAATGGATGCAGAAATGCATGCACTGCGAATGACGAGGATTTTCTGTGCCTTATTCCTGCAAAGAAAGAGAAAGAAGCATGGCCTTTTAAACACTATGGTTCTGCCTACACAGCTGCGTCATTTCGGAATAACGTCAGTTATTCCGAAATAACGTGCACGCCTACATAGCAAGCCCATTATTTCAAAATAAATTCCAAATCACGGGCTTCTTACTCCACCACCTGTAACCCTCATTGTATGAGGAGTAAGGGAAGTCGGGGGAAGAGTGCTCGATTTTGAAATCACTGCTGTGTAGACAGCGCCAAAAGTCCAAATAAGCTATTTCGACTTAAGCTACACAAGCAGCGTAACTCAAGTTGCGTGGCTTATTTCGAGTTTAGCCCTGCTGTGTAGATGTGCCAAATTATCCCAGTATTCCTGCAGCCACACTTGAGTACCACTTTCATTATTCTCGTATCGCTGTAGCAGTACAGGTTTTATGCACAGGCAAGCCCTTCGTCCGTTATAATCTAAGGAGGTGGCTGCTGCCTTTTCCCCTGGCTCGAAGGTGTAGCACATGTGTGGGTGTGTTGGCTAAAGGGAGCTTCTGCAGGTGTTGGGAACCAACCAAAGTGCCATTCAATCTCCAACTTCCTGCTTCTCTTTTGAGATTTGGTGCTGACTGTTGACAGCCTCCCCTCCCCCACTTAGAACAGCTGGGTCAACAGCTGGCAGGGATGTCACGGAATCACTAAGGGACCGGACCAAAAATACTATCCAAACAAAAACAGTTCAACATGGAACCCATTTACTAAAGCAAACAACTTAGTCTAAAACCCTCTTTCATCCCAGGACCGATTTGCTAAAACAAACTGGAAAGAGCCGTCTTTGTATGGCTCCGGCCACGGTGAGTTCACAGTGCTTCTATTATGATTATGTAATAGCTGTTTTCCTCCTGTATCCTGAAGGGTTTGGTGTACAGCTGTATTTCTATAGACTGGCTTTTTCACTGGCCTCCTCATTCCCATTTAGATGATCGGAGGAGCCGCACTTTATTAGAGCTGTTGATCACTAGTAAATACTCATGCAATAGTAGTAACCCATCATTAATGACACCTTGCACCTTTTGTGTGTTGACCCTAACGAGCATGAGAAAAGGACGTGTTGTTATCACCCATTGACAGAGGGGAAACTGAGGCAGAGCTTGGGGTGATTTTGCCCAAAGTCACAACATTAATCTGGAGCAGTCAAAAATGAAGCCCCTGTCTCCCAATGAACCTACCTGGCTCTAACCACTGGTCCCCACTCTCCTCTCTCAGCAACGGCAGTATGTGCTATAATGGCAAAAGGTTCTGGCTAGACTTATTAAGGACGTCACTAGCAGACGGTGGAGATGTATATTTTTACCTCCCTCAGTTTCTTAGCTGGTTGAGTGGGTGGAATTGAGCAGTAGTCACTCCTAAAATGTAGTATCATCCAGTTAGAAAAAAAATTGTGCCATCAAACCATACACTAACAACTTCCCTAGTCCATAGACGATTTCTCGGAGTGGTTGACAGGCAGAATTGAACCTGGGATCTCTGGAGATTAGTGCACAAGCCTCTACCATAAAAATGAGCAAACACCAGCCCTCAGGCTGGAGCCAGACTGCCATAGCACCCCCATAGCTCTGTATTTACCTGCATCTCTGCAGCTCCGAGGCTCACAGCTCCCTTTGGCTGTGGATCGCCGTTTGCAGCCAATGGGCAACTGCGATTGCCGGTACCCGTGGAGGTGCAGGTAAATATAGTAGCCGTGACCCCCCAGGGATTAACCCTGGTGATTCTGCGCTGTGTTATTGCCCACCCACGCGCTGCCGCATGAGCTAAAAGTAGAGCAGGTTCATTGTTCTCTCTGTAAGTGGGCTCAGTGCCACGAGATGGGCCAGAGCCTCACCCCCAGCAGGTGTGTGGGTCACACTGCCAGCCGGCCACTGCTGCTCCAGATGGCACGTTTGTCCCTGTCACACCAACCTGTTTTATGGGAGGGGGAACGGGTGCCCCAAGACTTGCTAATTAGATTCAAAAGGAAAAGTAACAAAGGATCGTTTCTTTAAAAAAATATATTTTGTCAA